CACTAAAGAACAAAAGAGACAAAAGAACAAAAGAGGGTGTGAGCACTAAAGAACAAAAGAGACAAAAGAACAAAAGAGGGTGTGGGCACTAAGAAAAGACCCTCTTAGTGCCCTGTGGGCACTAAGAGGGTCTTTTCTTAGCTAGCCCATTATTTTATGGGTTCAGTCAGGCACATAATCGGGAGGCCGGATAGTGAGGAATGGTCTCGACATATCTCGACGGACCACACCAAAAATATCTGTGGGTTTTTCGCCCGTCCGGACTCAATCCAGGTCTCCCAGAGCAGTAGGCTGCTCATGTTAGCATTCGGCTATCGGCGGAAAAAGACTATTCTACTAAATTATTTTATAAATATAAATAATTACCTGTTTTATATATCGGTTCTGGCATTTCTTTTTCGTACTACTTATCTATTATTTTAATATTTTACACTCGTTTTTTGCATAATTCTTCTTAAATTTTCTTCTTATATGTTGAAGGACTTTAACTTAATTTTTAATCCTACAAAGTTTATTGCTTCTCGGCATAAAAATGCCAACAAAACTAAAATAAATCTTGTTACTTTCACGCATGATATGCGACTAAAGTTTAAGGATATGATTTTTTTTTAAAGTAATTACAAATTCATATCTTCGTGATCATCTCGTTCATATCTTATCTGTTTTTGGGTTCATGTCAGTTTCGTGTTTTGCAAAATATTCTTTAATAACGTGAACACGCACCGTGTTAATGCACCCTTTGACGGATTATCAGTCATTGTTTTTGCTTTATTTTTGTTAAAATTTAGAATTTTTGTGTTAAATTTTGTTTACTTGTCATTCTTAAAGTAATTTTTTTATATTAAAAATTATTAAAATATTGAAAGGGTTCCACTATCAGGGTTCTATCGACAAAGAAAATAACAACGATAGAGACAAAGAAAATAACAACTTAAAACACATTTTGACGTTCGGATGTATTTAATGTTGATATATTGTAAAATTCGTGTTTTAGCTTCTAGACTTATGAGAAATCTATTTAATTATTTATATATTTATAATCCGTAATATATTCGTAACAAATAGCTGTAAATCCTATAAAAAATTATTACAAATATATTTTATTGATAATGAATTTTAATTCTTGGTAATTAGGAAAATTCAAGGTTTTATAGAAGTATATAATATGGATGGTTAATGATTTTAACTCAAGAAATTAAGAAAAGTATTTATAGTTTTTCTATATATATATATAAATTCTTCTATAAATTATGTATAATAATTAAANCTACAGTTAACTGACTTTTGAGCCACCCTGTTAATATATCGTTTTCTATCTTTGGATACATGTATTTTATGTACTGAAAAGTTTGTGGGTTTTGTACCTTGGGTATCAAACTCTACATCTTATAGGATGTAAGGCAAGGATACGGTCCACTGCACCTTAAATTTTTAGATGTATTTTCATTTATTTTGGTAACGTATGTCGTAAAACTTATTCTCGTTTCACCGGATATACTTTGACGTAGCCCACCAGTGGCCAAGCGGTTCCGTTCCCTGAACACTGAAAGTTCGGTCGTGGGTTCGCGCCTCGCCTGAACGGGTTGGCCACGTGGAGTTCTCCGAGTTTTCTCCACGTCTGTAACGCCTGAATAGGGACCAGTAAGACCTCCTTTAAAAGATCTCCCGGAAGGCATTATTCCCGCGCGTTCCACCTGTCCACCGTAATAAAAGTACTCAAGTATTAATACTAGCCGATGAACTTACACTTCACATTCCACGAGGCGAAATAACCAGAGAAGCTTATGCCCAACTTACAAACAAACACTTCTATGCCATAATGATGAAATTGGTGTTAGAAAACTGTTATGCCCGTGGATCAAAACAGCTGAAAGAAATAGATTGAGTGATTCTCATTTAACTAACATTCTTAGAATTAAGACTAGTACCATAAAAGCAGATATTGACAACATTATAAAAGAAAGGCAATGTCAAAAATTGCATTGTATTTATTTTTATTTTGTGAGAGTATAATTTTTTTTTACTGTCAATAGCACAGTATTTTTTGTAATTATATATATATATTTGTTATTAAAATTTAATATTTACATTTTGAACTTTTTAAAATCATATATTTATATAAAGTACTTTGTGGCCCTCTGAATAAACCTAACTTTCTAATTTGACCCATTTGGAAAAAAAGGTTGACAACCCTGGTATAAGGTATAACAATTCTTATATCTTGAGACCTTATGTATATATATTAACCATTTCAGTTATTCAGTTAGTAAATACCATATAAGTACAGAATAGCCCAAAACATCAGTTAATTATTGTAAGGATTAATCGTTTTTATTTTGAATACTATCCACCTTTATAAATTGTTCAAAATGAGGTTTGTCTTTAATACCCAAGTTATAACGTTATAACAAATTCAATTTACCATTCGTATTCACAAGTGTACATAAAACACAAAGCAGAACACGGTTAACCGACTTTTGGACAAGATTTAGTTCAGCCAGACCTACAATAGAGTGAGGAAGTGTGGAGGAACCGAAAAAATGCTTAGAATTTTTCGACTGTCCGGTTACGATTCCTGATCTCTCAGAACGATAGACTGATGCCTTACCCTTTTGGTTATTCAGCGGTCATTTTTTTATAGAATGGTCCTAATATCAATTAACCGTGTTTTGTTTAGTGTTTTCTAGATACAATTGTTAATATAATAACAAGCTGGATTTGTAACAAGCTGGATGTAAAAAAATATAATAACAAGTTGGATGTAAAAAAATATTGATGAAAAATTACAGCCAATGCTTGGCTGTAATTTTTCATCAATATTTTTTTAAATTTATTTAATTTAAAATATATGCTCTTCACCTCAAATTAATACTGTAGTGTGTTGCCCCTGTACATCATACTTTTCCGTTAACAATAAAGTCGTGCAGTCATCTACCTAATTCCTTTCAGAGGGAAAATTTTAAATTGAGATAATGTGATTTTCGGTCCAAACCGAAAGTTCATATGTAGTTAATCGGGGCCTCCTGTCCCTAAGCTTTCTATATTTTGTCTTGACTTTCATGTATTAACTCCATTCTCGAGATTAAGGAAGGACAGACAGACGGACAAACAAATGGATGTCAGTGGGAATTTATAGGTCTACAATTTTTTCAAATTGCAGCCCAACAAATTGTAGCAGTTCGAAAGATTCTTATTAAAAAGTATCTAGCTGCCTAACCAAGCAAAAAATATTGATCTTTACTACAGTTAACTGACTTTTGAGCCACCCTGTTAATATATCAAAATGATAAAATTATCTTCTCGCGACAAATTATTATATTATGTTATCAAGAATAAGGATTTACTGAAAAGAATTAGCGAAACATCCGGTACACAAGTACTACGACGTGGCTAAAAAAATGACGTAATATTTCGACACAAAGCTATAATTTTAACGTAATAATATAATTTTAGCATAAAGGTATAATTTTCCACATTAAGGTATAATTTAAGCATGGAAGGTAAAGCAGAGTTTACATATAACACTGCATAATTTAGGCACAGACTCTTTTGTAAGAGGGTTAATGAGATTTTAAGAATGCAGAATTCATTTGGATAATTTTAAAATAAAATATAGTAAGGGAGCTGCATAGTTTCTTATAAGCTGTAACTCCTTACATATTATATCATAATTATTCATGTCAAGTATGTCATAACTCAACAGGACGATAGAATCTTATATAATCCGCGTATACACACAGCTATTGGAATAGGAATTACTTGATTGTTTCACTATGTTCTTTATATATTATATAGCTTATGTATATATATTTAAAGTGTGTCTATAAATAAAATTTAATTTAAAAACTGAAGCTTTTTAAAAGATCAATTACCTTTTTACTAATTCTTTTTTTAAAATAAATATACATGAATGTCAAAAGGCAAGGTCATTATTCGTGTTTCTTATGCAATAAAATGTCTCTAGATGGCTGCTAGATAGAAATTTATTTATTATATATATTTAAATTATAATTATTATTAATATATGTTTATTTATTTTTAATTTTTACTGCCTTTAATTTTCTTAATTATAGCTTGAATTTATTTAAAATTTATTCATTTTATAATTTTTATTATTGACATTTATATTTATAAAATTAATTAAATTTGACTTTATTTAATTATTAAAATTAAATTAGTTTAATTATTTATTTTTATTTTTACATGAAAATATGATTAATTTGTTTTATATTTGAAACCCTTAAATTAAATTAAAATTTTAAACATTTAATT